GGGGTGGAGGGGTGTGTGGATGTATGTATCATAGAATCATAGAATGGTTTGGGTTGGAAAGTACCTTAAGATCATTTAGTTCCAACCCCCCCTGTCATGGGCAGGGATGCTTCACACTAGACCATATCGTCCAATACTCTGTCCAACCTGGCCTTGAACACTGCCAGGGACGGACCTATCAATTACAGGTCTGCAATATCTTTATATGCAAGTCATTCTAGGTTTGCCTCTCAGGTACATATGTCTATAGACACATCTATCAGAGCACAGATTTCAGCATCAATGCTGCAGCAAAAATCAGAACATCCTGAACTCAGCACAAAGATCTTTCTGTCCAATGCATCATACTCAACAAAGTAGTTTTGCCTTGTAAATAACCCAGCCAGAACTTCCTTTGTTTTGCTGGGCAGTAGCAATAGCAGGCTACAGGGAATTTACAGAAGTCTCCTAACTACCTGCATTGTAACTTAAATGTTAGAGCTGCAAAGGTTCTGTTCTGCCCCAAACAAGCTATTCTTTTGTGATCAGGGCAGAACCACTTCCTCAGACATCTGAGTCAGGTTTGAGTTTTCCCAGTAACTTAAATTAACAGACTCCCTCCTCCTCCTTTCAGAAATAAGTTGTCAAAATTAGGAGTTAAAAAAATCTATCAAATGAATTACACGGTCTCAAGAGGATTTTAACACTTCAGCACAGTCAGCCTAGACACACATTTCAATAGAACAGACAGAAAGATCTCTGCACTTCTTTCTTGCCAGCTCGACAGTGGTTCTGCATTCTTTATCAAAATGGTTTTCCTATTAGGAATGTGAAGTCTGGAGCTGGAATAGCCTCTTTTGGCTACGGACCGGTATTACATGGATGATGACAACCACAGGGGGTTTATATGTTGCGCCCCGTACAAGCTGTGACTTTCACACCCCTATTCCAAGGGAACAAGAGCACTTACTTTCCTTCCACTGCAGGCGTGAGAGGTTTGGTTGTTGAGGTACCAACTCTGCCAGGTGGTGTCTGACTTCTCTCCCTCACACTGGTGGGTTCAGGACCAAAGGGCACCACACCAGGAACTAGAACAGAGAAAAATAACCAAAACCTCAAGTTTGTGGGACAGATGAACAAGCCTGGTAAGCTATAGATTGTTTCTGAAATGGCCTATATAGGCAGCTTTCCCATCTCAAACCCAGTCTGTCAGCAGGAAAGACAGAAGGCGGCTCTATTTTTCACAACCACCTTACTTGCAGTATATTAGGTTTTATACACTTTGGATGCTCTGGTTGCCTCTGCATAAACATGAGCAGTGGCTCACTTATGGAAGCTACTACCCCCATGACACTCAGCAAACTCACTAGTAGAACAGGGCCTCCCATCTGGCTCATCTGGACACGCGCAGACGAAGTCAGAAGCCCTGGCAAAGCAGAGGTGGGTGCAGCCTCCATTGTTCACTCCACAAGCATTAGAACCTGGAAGGAACAAGCCATTTGCTAAGTATGTTGCACTGACCAGGTAGGAGCTCAGAGTTAACAACCCTTTTTCCTGCTCAGGCAGAGATACTTTCTGGCACATGCTCTTCATCTGACTGCTAAGAAAGTGATGACAATAGTCAGACACTGGTAGGATTAAGGCAGTCTTGAAAGGAAGGCACTGGAAATCATTAGACAGGAACCCAGTCAGCACAGCTGCACAGATTAAAACCCAAAAAGCTCACATTCTTCTGTTTTAACACAATGTCAGATGAACAACACAGAAAGTGACATTTGCTAATCAAAACTTTTAACAGAACACCATTAAAATGTACTTGACTGAAATGTCACAGGCAGACAAGGAATGCACACAGGGAAGATGCATTAACAGTTTGAGTATAAGAAAGGAAGCTGTCTTGACATCTATAGTAGCACATTGTTCCAGACATCTTTTTGTCTGCAATGAACATTTGCCTGAATCAAGGTCCTCCTATTTACCTGTCTGTCTCTGAGGGGAAACCACAATGATATCCATCAGTCCCTCAACATTGGCCAGGACCGTCTCTTTGTTCCGCCCAGAGTATTTGTCCACTCTCTGGATAGATTTGGTTTGCCAGTCAGTCCAGTATATCCACCTATCCTGCTGCTCAGGGAGACAGCGAAGAAAAACCACAGCCATTAGCATGTTTAGCTATGAAGACACAGGATACCCATAAAAAACCATCCCAGTGGTAGAAGGCCCCAAACAAAGACCTTTTCAATCCCTTCCCCTCTTATCATAAAGAAAATGACTGTTACACCCCACAGGAGTTCAGACCAACTTCCTTTGTTAGCTCCACAGAAGAGTTAAGCACTGTCCCCCCAGCTATCTTGGTTTCCCCAGACTGTATCACTTCTCTGTCCCCAGGCTCCACTGTCCAGACTCATCAACACACCAGGGAGAACTGTGGCAGCAGGAAAATCTTCTTACCTGTGTCAGAGCAAAAGGATGTGACACCTGGCTGACCAACACTTGCCGTAGCTTCCCATTGAGATCACAACTCTCTATGCGATCAAGATGTGCATCCACCCAGTAAATCCTGGAGGAACA